AGTCCCTCCTGGAGAAGGGCGGCATACAAATAAACTAAATACAAATACAAATACAAATAACCATGGTTGCCCTTCTAGCAGAAGCTGTGAGTGTTGAAGGACCCTCCAAATAATGAACCTGGCCATTCAGACACAATGATACTGACAGCAACTCATTTGAGTTCAGCTTAGTCTGTTCTCTCTCATCCAGATTCTTACAGTCTCCAGACATTTGGCTAGAATATCAATAGCATCATCCTATGCCTCAGAGGTGACAATGTAAAGTTGGTATATCAACCAGCTTTATTTGGTTGATTATATCACACTCCAAATGCCAAACATTCACTTCTGTGACCCTCCACATATGACATGCCATTGGGTCAATCTGGCACACCCCACCATTGACTTAACAAGCAGAACCACTGCAAAACAAGGCCTGTAGTCTCCGATTCTTGTAGGCCAGCCAGTAAGATACTATGGCTGATTGCATTGAAAGCCATTGCTTGCAGAGTTTTCCAAAGTCTTCAATTTTTACTAAAGCAAACCTTTTAATCAGCATTCAGCAATTTCAAAAATTGTGCAAATGCTCCCAATGTCAAGCCAATGCCAAAAATCTAAAGTGGTTAGAATAAAGAAAGGTGGCTAATTAAAAAAAAATCTTCCAACCCAATTTAAAGAAGAAAAAAAGGTATCCATATGGCAATAGTCATAGAAGACCAGACTAAAACCATTTCAGTTAAGAGTTTGACTACCACTTTCCTCTCCCACTCAGGAAAGCAGAAAACTCTATAAAGTAACACCTGAAGGTCTCTCTGAAAATGACAGTGGTATGGTATGGAGTCAATTTGCCAGAGTCCCAAGAAGGATACCTTCTTGTACAATTTCAGCTTCCATGATCCTTTCATTCTATAGAGATTTTGAAGGACAAACTGCAAGTCCTGCCTATTAGCTGGCCTTTTTCAATTCCAATATTGAATCAGAAAAGAAAAAGCTGCCATATGCTAAATATTCAGGTCAGTTGCATAAGAGACATGAGAGAAATCCAGGCCTTGACCGGTCAATAGCCTATCTACAATGCTCTTGAGTCAATATATATCAAAGGAGGGGGGAGCAGTTGATCGATTTCAGCTGCTCGGTTTTCTATATCAACTTTCCATGTCACATTGGCAGAAGGAAGTTAGAATTAGCTGATTCATCAGAACAGGGTATGATGTTCTTCTTAGAAACAACAGTTTTAATGCCCAACTGGTAATTCTGTAGAATTCCATGACAATAGTGTTGTTACGTATTATATAAGTAATAAATGGGTAATTCTAAATGCCTTTGTCAAGAAGCAAATGCTACTGAATACAGTAAGAGTGTTGAATAACCATGTTTAGATTTGCACAATTAAAACCCAAAAGTTATGGAAACAGGTTACTAATATAGCCACGCAACCAATGGGGGTGCAGATGAAATCCAACTGTTGAATATACAAACTGGGATATTAATAACTGAATATTTATGCCCCGTGTAACACAACCAGCAGAATAAACATTCTCCTTAACCTATTGCATATACCACCTTCTATTTGATCTTAGATTCTGCTAGGCTGTCAATCAGCTGGTAATTGTCCCTCTCAAATTAGATGCTACAGATTATGAAGACTCTTTACTACAGACTTTAGAGTTGAAGAGAGGGTAGTGTGTGTAGTAAATTGTATTTTAAACTGCTCCAACACTGGGAAGTTTTTCAGATTGCAATATTATTATAAACACTCACCACATAATCCAAGATACTAAGACCATGGTTGCCTCGTTGAAAGAATTAAAGAAACGAATGAGTTCTTCTCCTTCAGGTCCAAGTTTTTTCAAAGCTACTCCCAAAACCAGAGCAAACAGCACAAGCCCCAGAATATTCATTCCTTCAATTTCAGTGCCAACAGGGAACTGTGAATGAGATACACATAGCCATATACCATTAAGTGTTTTAATGTGGTGTGCCAATTATATGAAGCTAGATATCCCTTTTGATATTAATTGCAGTTAACAAATGAATGGAATCAGCACTCTATGACCAAAGAAAAACCCACTAGAAATAATTTGTTCTCTTGAATAGAGATGTAATCTTTCGACAGAAGAAGTAATTTTCATAAGAGTCTTCAGAATGAAGATGTTAGATCCTCATTATTTACCATGTTGACATACTGTAGAGTTGAAAGCATTGTGTATTTAAGATTAAGTACATTATTTGTACTTATAATGTAAGATTTTTACAACACAAGGAGCATTTCAATTTGATCGTTTTGGAAGGAGGAAATATCATTTACCTAAACTACTTGTTTATTCAAAGTGGTCCTTGATACCATCTAGTTATCTTCAAATACTTTGTGCAGACTACAAAGGCAAATAATTATTGCCACATCATTTTATGGGCAGTAGAAAGGTATTACATATATTTGCTGACTGAGGATAGGCTTTGGGAATTTGAACTAAGGGAACTGACAGACATACCCCCCTTTCATACATTCACGATCATGGCTAAATAGAACCTAGGCATATAACATTCATACAGTTTGAGAGTGGTAGAGAGAACTATTTTTATTCCACATTCCTCTTCACATTTATATTGTCTACCAAGTCAAAAGAGATAATAAACTGTAAGAATAAAATATATAGTTTGATTAATTTGTTAATGGGAATTAAACGGATAGCATTGAATAGCTATCCAAAAGACTATTTTTAAAAAGAGAAAAAAGCAAGTGGCTAAGGCAAAGAATTACTGTATACAACATTTATGTTATTGTCATATCACTGAATGAAATATATCTTTGAGGTTCTCTTCCAATGTTTGTACCACAAGTGACTATTGTCTGTGTGCTATAAGTTAAATCAAATGCATGCAATTGTCAGAATTGCATGCAACCCTGTGTCAGGGTTCCAAATAACACCCCCAACCAAATAAGACTCAGAGGCAAGCATTTCCTCAAAGTTCCATTTGATTAGAGATGCCTAATAAACCCGAATCTGAAGTCTCCTGGGTTTTCCCCACCAAAGGAAAGTCTAAGTCCCTTCGCCTGCACCCACATGTCCATCACATGGTTCAATCAGGTCACCATCCTAACTGAATTAGTTTTCCAGTCATGCCTCTCTCTAGGTGCAGGCTGAATGTCCTTGACTCCCAGGGAAAGAATGTTGTTATGGCTACACATCGCACCTCATCGCCATCCAACTCCCCTCCCAGTTCCCACAGCATGCCCATCCACCAAAGTGTGGCAGCCCTGAAGATCCAAAGAAAAAGATGCCCTCCAGGGCTGACATCCTGTATAGTTTATTAAGAAGAATGATAAGATTTTTTTGTTTCTGTTATAATTTTGTGAGGTTAAAACCAATTTCATTGTACTTAAGTACAATGACAATAAGATTATACTTATACTTATAAGTCAAGGGATCCTATAAGTCCTGAAGTTAGTTCAGAGTTAGTAGGCATTAGTTCCTACTTTAGGATTACTTAAAAGATAAAGGTTCCCCTCGCACATATGTGCTAGTCGTTCCTGAGTCTAGGGGGCGGTGCTCATCTCCGTTTCAGCTCTGTCCAAAGACGTCTCCGTGGTCATGTGGCCGGCATGACTAAACGCCGAAGGCACAAAGAACACTGTTACCTTCCCACCAAAGATGGTCCCTATTTTTCTACTTGCATTTTTTATGTCCTTTCGAACTGCTAGGTTGGCAGAAGCTGAGACAAGTAACGGGAGTTCACTCTGTTACTCAGCACTAGGGATTCAAACCAAACTGCTGACCTTTCTGTAGGACTACTTAGACTTCTGTAAAGAAAATGCTGTACTGGAAAGAACCAGAGATTTTCTCTCCATGTTAGTAAAATAAACATAAGCTATGGTGGGGTACTATGTTATACAAACATAAGCTAATATTGCTAACAAAGATATAAAACTATCTGGTTCCTAACATTACTAACAAGAAGAATCTGCAAAAATAGAGATTTCCCAAGTAGAAACGGGAGAGATCCTGTAACTTCTTCCATGATGAAACAAGGAGACAAGGCTCAGGTTATGCCACTCAGTCAGGTGGAGAGGACTAGAACTAATCTCCCACTTCTGACTTCAACATCACTGAAAGTGACGTCGTTCAGAGTATCCACAACTTCAAATGAGATGATTTTACAAAGCAAACATATACTGCATATCCCGGAGAGACAAAACTGATCTCAAGCAGGCAACACAAAAGCAACCCAGGACTTAAGGACAGCCTAGGAATATCATGCTATGTTTCTGAGCTACCCACATAGTTTCATATAGCAGTGCAATGTTAGGTGCCAAAATGAGAAAATTCCACATTGTTAAAACGTCCAAAGGCTACACTGCACTCTTATGAGAGAAAATAAAAAGAGAACAATTGTTCCATAGTAGTGCTACGGGTTGGAGGCCTCGTTAATACATCCCCTCACAGTTCCGTAGTTATTAACTCCATGATTTTGTAAGAAGAGCTGTTGGTGGGGGTTCCCGGAGCATGATTTGACAAAATAATGTGAATAAGCGGGAACCATGCTGTTCAAGTTAGAGCTACAAAGCATTAGGTAACCAGATTGTGACCTGGAGGTAGATCTAATTTCACAGATGTCCTCATGGATCATATATGGGGAAAATGGATGAATGAGGGGTGAACTCTCCACAAGTGATTCCTGGTGCTCTGTGAAGGATGAAACAAGTGGCTTCTTGCCTCAGCTATTGCATACGTCCCACTCTGGGGGAAAGTACAGACTATGCATGAATTGGCAGGACCCTTTTAAAGCTTCCATGAGCTGGAAAAGTGTAGGATAGCTTCTGTCTGCTGGAATGGCTCAGTCTTCTGCATACTTTCCCCATTTAAAAAATGCACACTGATAGAACTGGCAGGAGGACCACTTCATACTGCCTTTTTCAAGAAAAGCAACAAGCAGCCGACAATTGTAAGTTAATGAAGGACTTTTGAGAGAAAAAGAGACCTTTTCTGCCACAAACCTATCTGATTCTGGCCCAAACATTCATTGATCTGGACTGTTTTGTTTCCATAACATTTTCCCTCCAATGCAACTTGTTTCTTAAATCAGCACAAGTGGAGAGTAACCACAATTATTTGGCCACTAAGCAGAATTGTATGTTTTAGGCCGATAATGTTTTTTTCTGTGGGTTTTCAGTTTTAGAAAGGGCCATGATAAGAAAGCCTCTGTCAATAGAGACAACAGGGATATGTTGAGGTTTTGTGGAACTACAAGCCTCTGAAGATTTGTATGATCTTACCAGCAGAGGGCTCATTTTGCCAAACTCTAATTGGAGTGAGGCTACCATGTATAATAGTCTCATGCTTCTTTCCTCCAGTACAAGAGGCAAGGTGGGATATAATAGTAATATAATGAACTAGAGAGCATCCAAGGTCTCGAGATTGCATGAATGATCTCAGTGCACAATTCAGAGGTTGCCTCATTAATTTTTTTCCCATTTTTTAAAGTCTCTGTCTGGTTTGTTACTTAATATTCTACGAAGGAATTAAAATAATGTGAATTGCATAACCCTAAAGCAATACTATAAAAATACTGCTTCTGTTGTGACTTTTGGTTTTCCCTGGGTCAATATAGCTTCTTTTGCTTCATGCGCAGTTAGAAGATGAAACAAAAGTCTAACCCTAAAACAAGCATTTATATACAAACAAACATATTTCATAAAATAATCACTTTCTTACCTTTTCAATAGTGGCATTCCCAAGGGAGGCATTTATTATTTCTTTATAATCAACAATGTACTGTTGATGAAAAATAATGTTTTGATTACATATATATCATGAGAACTGTAACGCGCTCTACATGGGGCTGCCCTTGAAGAGGGTTCGAAGACTTCAGCTAGTCCAGAACGCAGCTGTGCGAGCGATTATGGGTGCACCCAGGTACACCCACGTTACACCTATCCTCCGCGAGCTGCACTGGCTACCCATTAGTCTCCGGATATGCTTCAAGGTGCTAGTCATTACTTATAAAGCCCTACATGGCATCGGACCTGGGTACCTGAGAGACCGCCTCCTGCCAATTACCTCCCATAGACCGATCAGATCGCACAGACTAGGCCTTCTCTGGATCCCATCTGCCAGCCAATGTCGGCTGGCAACTCCCCGGGGGAGAGCCTTCTCTGTTGCAGCTCCAACCCTCTGGAACGAGCTTCCCATGGAGATCCGGACCCTTACTACTCTCCCGGCCTTCCGCAAAGCCACTAAGTCTTGGCTGCTCCGGCATGCCGGGGGGCTGTTGAAGTATCCAGCCCCACAGTAACTATGAATGTTGTGTATTTTAAATTGTTGTTTTGTCTATTTATCCCCTTCCCCTGTTTATTGTAAGCCGCCCGGAGTCCTTCGGGAGTGGGCGGCATACAAGACCAATAAACTGAACCTGAAACTGAGAAAGCTGCTCTTGCTATACTCAAGTATAAGCAATTATTTTACAAGTTAAAGTCTAGGATATGGTTGGCAAAGTGCTGACTTCCCAATGTGGAACTACAACTCCCATAATCTCTCACCACTGGCTTTAATAGCCGGTGTCAATAGGACATGAAGTACATTAACATTTGGAGGGTCAGTTGTTACCCATTCCTTTTGCCTGGACAGTTTTCTTCTGTGCTTATTTTTTTCCCAGGGATTCTTTCCAACATTCCCTGGGCATAATCATTGAAAGGAATGGGATTTAATTCTGAACAAAATAAATAAATAAATAAAGGCAAAAAATCCTTTGTAATGATACTAAGGATGAACTCAAAAGCATGTATACTGAGTGATAACATAACTTTAACAAAATCATTACTTACCTTTTCAATGGTAACATTGTCAATGGTTGCATTTCTAACTATGGCTTTATAATCAGTAGCATACTGTAAATGGAAAATATTGATTTTGTTAATATTTGTGGCACAATTCTAAACAAATATATAGGTTAAAACTAAATGACTTGTAAAAAAAATTAATGTGAAACTTTGAGGACTACAACATCATCGATGAAAGTTATAGATCCAATTTGGCCATATTTTTTTTTGAACATACAATGTTGCTTATGCATGAAAAACCTGTGCCTATGCACTGTTAAAGGCTTTCTACATATCTGAAGCATTTTGGAAGGACAAAAGAATAAAAGCATTCAGTCATCAGGAACTGTCTCTTTACATCACTGCATTAAGCCAGGAAAGCAGTAAAGCAATACTGCATCCAAATGAAGCAACATCAACAAAAGTTCCTCCACAATGTATATCTGATTTCATTTTTAAAACACTTCTTGGCATTTTTGGATTGCCGCTCATACAGCTAATCATAGAACACAAGGATTTCCCATTACCAAAATGGAATGGGATCAGATGAGATTCAAGTGCCAGTTAAACTACAGATTAAATGTGAGATTCCATAAGAAGATTGCAACCCTTCTTACAGAATTTACAGCTGCCAGTGAAGATAGTCACATATATTTAGGCCTGTTAGATTCCAACTTAATATTTGTTACAAAGGACTGTAGTTTATTATAGGACTAAATTTTATTTTCTAAAATAAATTTCAGCAAAATTTATAAAACAAAAGGCTTCAAAAGGCTAATATTTAGCTTGTGGGACTATGACCCAGAAATCTTTCTGGTCAGAGAAGTGGGTACCTAAGAACTCCTGACTGTTTGGGAACACCACCACCTTCATGACACAATGAAATGTAAACAATTTACAAAGGGAGAAAGAGTAACTCAATCTTAAGGAACAGGGTAAATAGATGGCACTTTTATTAGTGGAATTAATATCTAATTATTAAGATTCTGTTTCAAAAATACCATGGAATTTAAATGGAGTAAAAAGGATGTGAACTGGCAGCAAAAGTTCCATAGAGGTCATCATTCAGAGCTTGTTTATATTTTACAATTCCAGATTAAAGATTCTTATTTTGGCAAACATCTTCTATCTATGTTTTATTGCCTCCCAGTTTTATAGAGAATGCAAAGTTAAGTCTTTGAAAGACATTAGAAATTGCTTGATTATTTTTGTATAGAAATATTTTGTTACATAGTTTGCATATTTTGTTCATATGGTTATAAATTAAGTCCACCCCCAAAATTGGAAAATAATGTTCATATATGCGAAAGGTGCCATGAAAAGATAATAAGGCCAGATTATTGCACAATCAAAAGCTTTTTATCAAGGATTCAAGCACCACATTGCAAATTCTTCCATTACCCTTGTTCAGTATTTTGAATTTTCTAATTATCCAAACTGCTAAGATCTTCATAATATTGGAGTATTAGATATTCTTATAATTCTGTGTAGATTGACTCTTGTAAAACACAATTTTGTACTACCTATATCTGGCAAAGAATAGCATTACAGAAATCAAACTCTTTTTGATTGAAAACTCAGAGTTCAGAATAGATTTTTAAATAGATACAAAGGATAATTACCGATCGAAAGGCCGCAGCAATGAGATTTGATGGGAACAAATTTCTGAAAAAAAACAAAAACAAAAATTAGGAGTTGATAATAGTTTATAATCTTAAATTGTTTGTACATTGGTATAAAATAATCTCTCTTTTAGGATTTAACATTAGTTCATCATTAACAAGGCAGAGTGCTTTACTGCATCAGCATTTTTTAGGCCTTAATAGACATACTTGCCTCAACAGCACATTTCAAAGAACTTACAAATAATTAACAATGTTATTAATAACTGTTTTCTTCAGCGGTCACGTGATACTTCCTACAAAATGTACTAAACTTCAGAAAGTGCAATCCATGGGCAGTAATGGCCAAAAAAAGGGAGCAAATCAAAGAATGATTCTAATTAAAAATGCAAGAGAATCTTAATTTGAAATTTTAGTCAGAAATATTTGTTTTCCCTATTTTATTTTGGGGAATTGTTTTTTTTAAAGTAGTGAGTACTTAAATATTGTTAAGTACATTAAATATATTTCTAATAGATATTCTATAGTTCTGTACTATTCTAAGGTATAATGTGCACAGTACATAACAGTATTAACCAGAGCCGAGGTGGCGCAATGGTTAAATGCAGCACTGCAGGCTACTTCAGCTGACTGCAGTTCTGCAGTTCGGCTGTTCAAATCTCACCGGCTCA